ATTTAGATGAGGTAGAGTTCAGCTGTTGCTCCCTTTAAATGGATTTAGTAACAGCCAATCACAGTATTTGGAACACTGATCCAAATATACTGTAACGTTTTCACTGATATTTAATATTGTTACGTTGTAAAACATTATTTCCCTAATTTGTTTTCTTCTTTCCACTTACAGGCTTTTTAAAAGAGCTCATAAATATTCTTGGTCACTGTTTTCCAGGCAGAAGTGCATTTCCTTACCTGTCACCTCACCATGAGTTGCTGTAGTCTCTAGCAGAGGTTGCATGGATTTGTTTTCATCTCACTTGTCACCTATGTTTTGTCTTTCAGATTACCACACAACTTCTTTTTTTTTTTTTAATCTCATGTGGCACTGGAAAGCCTGCAAGACACTGTAGTGCATAGGATGCCCAGTAAATATAGCCAGTTTTCCTGGTTCCTTTAATTCAGATGCCATTGTTTTAAAAACCTTGTTTGAGCTTTCTCTAAAAACCTATGATGCTGGAAATCACTACCCTTAAAGCATTTCTCACATGAAATGCGTTTTAGATAGCTTAAGTTTTAAAGTTGACTCTGCATATTTTCCATATCCTCGATGCTATGGCTAAAGGTTCTTTTCTTGGTCTGAAGTTGAACTTTCCCATTTAGTGCAAAAGTGGAATGCTGTTAAAAATGTGTTATAAATAATTTTAATATGAGAAATGCTCCTAGAATATATATTTGTTAACGCAAAATCAAAGCTGATGTTATATGTGCTATATGTCATCAATATAGCACTTCCATGTGTGTAACAAGATCCAATTATATAAAACTTCTTTATGCAACTTTATGAAGGTTTGGAGAAACAGTTCCACACATTATTCTCTAAACATAAAGGTTAATATTAAAAATGCCCAAGGAAGAAGACAATAAATATTTTATATTCGTTATTTATGAATGAAAAAAAACGGCGTTTCAAAAGAAACAACAACGTATCCATACGAGGAACGTTTAAACGCGAGCCTGTCCTTCATACGTGTTTCCCCCACCCGGGACGCGGCCGTGGCCAGGGTTCAGGAGCGCGTACAGGCTACCTCGGGGCTTGTTTGCAGAGCAGCTAAAAACACTATGCCTATTCACACTTGTGAAAAGATAAAAAATAGCTTTGTTTATGACTGAAAAGAACGTATCCGAAACCAAACACACTTACGGCACTTCCGAAGTCCGGATGTCCCTTCCGAAGGGCAGCGAGCGCGGGCCGTTGGGTGCTGGGGGCGTCGCGCGCAGGCTCTATAGGCGGTGTGCAAAAAGTCCAACAGGTGGCTCCGTGGCGCAATGGATAGCGCATTGGACTTCTAGAGGGTGAAGGGATTCAAAGGTTCCGGGTTCGAGTCCCGGCGGAGTCGCATCTTCTCTTTTACTTATTCTTCCTTTCAGCTGCCGTCTTTTCACCCCGCTTTCCCGTCCTTGCCCTCAGTGCCGGAGCAATCGGGCCGACCGACCTGGCGCTTCGCGGCGGCCGGCTCCCTCCAGCGAGGCTCTCCGAGTCCGCCTGACGGGGTGCTGGGGGCGGCCGGAGACAACGGCGCCAACCTCCAAGCAGCGCGGCAGCA